AGTGAACACATCCAGACAGATGGAGCACAGGAACTGATCTTCAGATGACAGATAGTTTGCAGCAGCCATATCTACTCAAAGTGTGGAAGAAAAGAAAAACATTTTATTCAAAATATAGTTTAATATTTAGTTGAAAAGGAAACTATTGGGATTACTGTTCTTTTAAGTATTAATTATATTAGGTAAAGTCATTTTGAATTATGTATACTGTGTTTTGACTTGCACAGAGCCACGAGCAACCGAGATCAAAGTCGTGCTGACAAGCTCAAGCTTGCTGCTCTCGCAAAGCGGCACATAATAAGTCTAATTTGTGTTGAAGAACAGCACTGCTAACACATTTCCTCTAGCTGCTTCACATTAAGAGCCTCCCGCTGGTTCGCTGGTAGAAAACTTTTAATGTGAAACAACAAGAGGCAATAAAGGAAGCGATCAGTGAACAGTAATAACAGCAGGAAAGTAGCAGTGAGACTAAAGTTCAAACCACAGAGATTCAGCTACAAGTTGCTGAAGTCCTGAGACTGTTCAAAGCTGTTAAAGTGAGTTACTGTATAGTGGGACTGTGGACAAACAGACAGTTATATTGTGAACAATTGATCAAGTATGAAGTGAAAAGAGTGGAACTTCCTGCCTGAGTGAAGTTCCAGTTTTGTGTTAATCCTGGTTGTTGAAAGTGTAAATATGATCAGCTGTACTCACCAGTGTTTGGAAGAGACTCTGCTGTGTTGTTGAGAAAGACCTGATGAAGTCACTTTGACTTTTCTTTGAGAGAAACACAGAGACTTGTCTTTACTGCAGTGTGTCTGCCACTCTGACAAACTCGACTTTCACTTCTGGATTGTGACGTTGAAGCTCTTATCTTCAGTGTTGCTTCGCCTCTTATTGAAGCGTCATCTGTTGGTGAGGTTTTGTCTGTCATGTTTAGACATGGTTTGAATAACATGCAAGGGTGTTACCTGGCTTAACATGAGGTGAAGGTGGTACTGTACTTAAAGTATTTTTAAATGATTCTTTTTGCGGTGACGCACTGAACTGTGTAGGTAACTAGTGATGAATACTCTGTACTACAAGCAGCCCAAACTGGACTGTTGTTATCAGGTACATTGATAGAAAACAACCCAAATGCCAAACATATAAGTATATATGGTCATTGTTGGACTATTTAATGCACCACCATTTACAATCACTTAATATATTCTTGGTCAACATGAGCGGTCATCCTCTACATGTGCGTCACAGTATTCTCACATATCAGTGTTTGGTTAACGACACAGTGTGACTCCATGCTTTGTGTGGTGGGCCATCTAGTGGTCGCTCTGTGCCATAACACCAGGAAGCTGTTGTTGCTCTACTGCAACAGCTAAAATGACCATGAACTCAGCACTGAGGGTTTTATGGTGGATAACGACAGATAACACTGGCACCATTTTCACAATGACATTTACTAACTATTTAAATTGGGCTTGAAATGGCCTTAGACTAAATCATGAGTAGAAAATCGTACATTTACGTTCAGTTTGTTCTGTTATCTGCCTTAACTTTAACTAGATTATCTTCTTGTATAGTTTATTAAACAAGATGTTTATTAAGAAGCCCTTGGTCGACGGTAGATCTTGGCCTCCCGGTGAGTCGGCCGTACAGCTCTGGTGTTTCTCAGCACCGTGGCTGAGCAACATGTCGCAGGTGTTGTTTCCCAGCCACTACATTAAAGAGAGAAGGCACTGCTGCCATGACTCTGGCTGTCGCTCTACAGGTCACAGATGGTGTGACATCTGCATCTATAGAAACAGATTTATGTGTTTTTAAAGATTAATTTCTGACCTTGTCTGACAGCGTAAGATCGCAAACCAGACTATTTCCCCAAATAATGGACTGTGCTTTGATACGTTCTATAGGTTTGTTGCTCATCATAGAAGTCGGCCAACGTCAAACTCTGGAGGCCTGATTTGTGATATACTTGAATTTGAAAGTAGAAGGCTTGTTGTTTGACCAGAATTATGGTGATCCATGGTTTTTGCTGTATTTGGGCAGCCTGTATTTAGTAGTTTTCATTGTTAGTGAATTGATTCACAGCAAACACAAAGTATACGTCATGAAATATCTCTTCTGTTTGGTGTTTAGTGCTCAACTCACTGCTTACTCAGGCTTTGTGTTAAACGTTTAGTTTATTCCACAGTTTTTATTTAACAATCACAGATTTCTTTGACTCATAATTCATCTTACTAGAAGAGATGAATGTGCTACTACTGTAGTGGGATACACATAATACAATAATGACGTGTAAATCAATCACCACAGTAAACAGATTCTGTAGGAAATAAGATATGCACATTTGCTTCCTTGAAGTAAAACTAAATGCAGAACATGAAATAAGATAAGTGATTAGTTTACTCTGACAGGAGAGATGATCAGAGGTGCAGAGTTTTTACCACCATCATTATGACAGGGACTAAAGTATGGAAGGAGTTTCTCTTTGAAGGAGCAGCCAGTGAAGGAGTAGATAAGAGCTGCAGCATCTACGTCATAGAAGGAGACCAGACCCTCCTCATAATCCACAAACACCCCCACCTTCTGAGGCTGAGACTTCAGAGAGAGACTGAAATGGCACTGAGCAAGAGCTTTGTACTCATTTCCATTTCTCAACCATACAGTCCAGTAACCATTCTGAGGACTCAGTGAGATGTCTTCTTTCCTGTTGATCGACTCTCTGGCCACTCCTAAATCCCACTCAGTCTTTCCTTTAACTTGAACCTCAAAGTAAAATCTGCCAGAAGAGAAACTCTGCTTTCCTAAGACACAGGGTTCGAGAGAAAATCTCTCTGGGTTGTTTGGGAGTTTCTTTGTCACGTCACCATGTTTCACTTGTTTCCCATCATCAGACAAGATGAGTTCAGGATTTGCTGTATCAGGATCAAGAGTCACATCCACTGCAAACTTCTGGACCCTCTTCAGCTCAGCTTTAACCAGCTTCTTCATCTTTTTACTGAGCGTCTCCTCCAGCTGAACCACAGCTCTCATCACAGTCCCCTCATATGATTGGCGGATGTTGACCTTTGTCCAGTCCTTGGTGGGTGGTGGGTGGTGGATGTTTGAGGACTGGTCACTCTGGAGAAGATGGAGGTGGTCTTCAGAGAGTGAGAGCTGAACCACCTCAGTGCTTCTCTTCATCAGCTCAGAGATTTCCTGTTCCAGCTCTTTGATGGAGTCTTCAGCCTGTTTCTTTGTTGTTTTCTGCTTCTCTTCGATCGTGTCAATGAGCTCAGTCAATCTTCTCTCAACAGACTCCTTCAGATGAGTGAAGACCTGAACACCTTTTGCTTTCTCTCTGTCTGCATCTTCCTCACTGAGGTCGACTGAGTGTCTGATCTCCTGAATCTTCAGTCGTCTCTTCTGGATCATCTGCTGAATTTCAGCCTCTGTCTTCTTCAGCTCGACCTTCTTTCCTTCACATTCTTCTTTCAGAGGAACAACATCATGCATCTTGTGGTCTAAAACGGTGCAAAGCATGCAGACAAATGTCTGGTCGGTCTTACAGAACAGCTCCAGAGGTTTATCGTGCTTCGTA